TGTTTTTTTCTCTTTGTACTGAAGTAGATTTTCTCTTCGGGTTCTCAAGGCTGTGTTTATGCTGGTGTTGATAGTTTTGTCCTTGTAACCTTTCTTATGGAAGGTGTCTGCTAGTGTCCCGAGATGTATTTTATCTCTGTCTCTTGAGTCAGAACATATTCGGTGGTATCTAATGGCCTGACTGTGTATGATGTGTATAATATGACTGTTTTGGTTTAGCGCTACATTACTTTTGGTTTTTTTTACTATCGCTATATTGATGATATTTTCATCATATGGACAGAAGGTGAAGAAAACCTAAAACAATTTTACTCATTGATGAACACTTTTCATCCATCAATCAAACTAAAAATGGAATACTCAAACACACACCTCAACTTCCTAGACACCACAGTATACATCAGGGATGATACGCTCCACACCTCAATATACAGGAAACCCACTGTCAGATGCAACTACCTCCACAGTTCTAGCTTCCACCCCCAACACACAAAACATGCCATCATACAGAGTCAGGCCATTAGATACCACCGAATATGTTCTGACCCAAGAGATAAACATCTCGGGACACTAGCAGATGCCTTCCATAAGAAAGGTTACAAGGACAAAACTATCAACACTGGCATAAACACAGCCTTGAGAACCCGAAGAGAAAACCCTGCAATAAAAAAAACGCTGCAAACTGTGCAACCAAATCAATCCATCAAAAAGTGTCAGACACCCAAAAGGGATCTTCATGTTTCCGGATCATACAGCTGCACCTCTAGTAATGTTGTGTACCTTATCCAGTGCAGAAAATGCAGCAAAGGATCTCATGTTGGCGAAACAGGACAGAAGTTGCAAACAAGGATAAAGTTGCACAGACATACCATCAAGGAACATAAAGAAGATGACTTCTGCACACCTGTGGGACACCATTTCGCACAACCAGACCACACAATGGGAGGCCTCAATATTTTAGTTCTTAAAGGAAATTTCATATCCATTCATCAAAGAAAAACTTTTGAACTAAGAATGATAATTCTATTTGACATAGAGATAACGGCCTGAATTTGGACATGGGATTCCTCAGTCATTATCCAACAGTTTTATGACTATCAGCTCAAGCTTGACTCCCTTTGTGATGTGAGTGTTGTCTCCCCCCCCCCCCTTTGCTTTTGCTGTTTCTTATCTCTAGCCTTTTTTTTTTTTTCAATCTATTCTAACATTCTGCTAAATGTTTGTGATTTGTATAGTACTGCTTGGACCTTGAAGAAGGGGACACTCCCCGAAAGCTTGTCCTCAAAATTGTATGTTAGTGCAAATAAAAAAAGTATCACGGACAGTACTCAATTGTTTCTGTCGCAAATGCACTAATACAGCTACAATCACTTCAAGCAAAACAGCTTTTCAGTGCAATTCTTGTAATGATCATGAAGGACCTCACCAGAGCCAGGATTATCATCTTGCCTCGGCTCAGGAAGACCAAAGATGCTCATCTCAGATATGGGCTCACCTTTTCATCCCATAAGCGTTTTTCTTTTTTTTTTTGGCTTGCAAGGAAATTTGGATAGGGGGACTTAGTCTTAAGCCCCGTATACACAATCAGAATATCATACGAAAAATGCTGCTTTTGAAGCGATTGTACGATAATTTGATCGTTAATACACAGCTATCTAACCAAAATAGAAGGAACAAGCATGAAAAATTATATAGTACGATACTGGATCGTACAATTTTCATCGTTCGACAATACAAATACATTACATTCTTCAGAATTTTTATTCCCTCGTTTAAAGAATTTTTGGAACGTTGGTAACCTCTTCACTTTTGATATGAGACTAGCATACAGAAAAAAACCAAACGATCATTTGTCCGATATTCTAAACCTGTATACGGGGCATTAGTCTTCTAAGCCCTTTACCTCCACAAGTGTAAGGGTCCATGGCAGTTCAAGACCCCCCCCCAAGCCTGTGGAGAAGTTTTTCTCTGCATGAATGTTTGTTTAGCTAAGGTGGGGTAATGACTTTAAACGTTCAGGGACTATTGGCTTAGCCTTAACGTGGTTGTAAAGGCTCAAGGTTTTTTTTTATCTTCATGCATTCTATGTTTGAATGTGAAAAACCTTCATGCAGCAGTGCCCCCAGCCCCCTCAATACTTATCTAAACCTCATCAAGATCCAGCCTCTGCTGTCAGGTCTCTCTGCCTCCTCATTGGCTGAGACCGCAAGCAGCAGCCATTGGCTCCCACTGCTGTCAATCACAGCCAATCAGCCAAGAAGGAGAGAGAAGGGGTGGGGCCAAGCCACGGCTCCGTGTGTGACTGGAGACATGATGCAGCACGTGCTCCCATAGCAAGCTGCTTGGTGAACCTGCAGGGGGGACAGAGAAGAGGAGGATCCAGGTTGTTCTGTGCAAAGTCAATGCACACAGTAGGTAAATATAGACATGTTTGATATTTTCCACAAAAAAAAAAAGGAACCTTTAGAATCGTTTTAATCTCAAGCTGCAAATCAAGTTTCACAACACCCTCTGCAGAATTTTTTCTCCAGTGATTATCTGATTTACATCTGGCCCATAAGGGACCAATGGCTGAGGAGGTGCTAATTTCCAGTTTGACCTGCAGAAAGATTAAAAGGTTTCTGCACAAACCTCTTCATGGTGTCCAGGAAAATTGTCATATCTTTTATGTAAATACATTGAAGAATTTTCAACATCTGCGAATTCAAGATAGTCGATACAACTGGTGGTGGTGTCTTTTTATCAGGGAGATTTTCTGGCATTTATAGATATCAAGGATGCATACTTCCATGTACCCATTTACCAAGGGCACCAGTAGATCTTGTGCTTCGTGATAGAGAAGGCGCATTATCAGTTTGCAGGTTTAGTCATGACTCCTCAGGTGTTCAACACCAAGACATTGATACCAGTGTTAGACTCCGTGGGGTACCTGGACATCCTTCTGTTGCATTCTATTGTGAATATTACTTGGAACTGGAGTCCAACCATCACAATTTAGAGGAGTTTGGGTGGATTTTAAATGTTGAAAATTGCTTGCTGATTTCCTTTCTTCGCCTGAAATACCTAGGGCTGGTCATGGGTTCCAGCCAGGCGAATGTGTTCCTTCCATTTGAAAAACCTAAAGAAATTACAAGTTCAAGTTTGCCTAATGCGTGCTCCCAGGAAATTGTCCATTTGCCACTACATGTAAATTTTGGGCCTCATGGAAGTGGCCTTCAAAGTGATTCCTTATGCACAACACCACACTAAAATGTTGCAGCACTAAATCCTTTTGCAGTGCAACACGTCTTCCTTGTCCTTAACCTGGTACTGCCCAGTGTTATAAAGTCCACCTTTCAAGGAGATCCTGCTGCTAACACTGTCTCGAAAAGAGGCATTTCTGGTAACCATTACTTCAGCAGGTAGAGTCTTGGAACTGGTGGCGTGTTCTTGCAAGCCTCCATTTTGGTCCTTCATAAGGATAAGGTCATCCTGCATCCGAGACTCTATTTTCTGCCTGTGATATCTGAATTCCAATTGCACCTTGCATTCCTTGTGCAGGCTGTCGGCTTTTTACTAAACGTGATTTGGCCAGATGGAAAGCCACTCAAATACTTATACAGCTTACAGAAGATGTTGTCCCCTCACCATGTATCCGGTCTGACCCATCTCCTGGGGAGATCAGAGAGAGACTAGTGAACGTCTTTTTGCTGATTGTCCTTCTGTACAATGTACCATGGAAGTAACAAACTTTTCATCATGGTTTCATCGTTGTCCTTCCCTGGCCACGGTGGTGGGAGATGGAGCTGTAAAAGCACGGTCTGTGGCCTGATCAGCTTTAATAGAGTGCATAGGTGACATTGGGCCCCTGATGTCTCACTAAGGAGAACCTGTCACCTGCATTATGCTATTACATAGGGGGTCATCAACTCCCCTGTCAGAGCAATAGAAAAACAAAAAAAAACTAATTTTAAATATATTAAAATTAATAAACCTATTTTTTAAACCCCGTGCTCCCATGTACATGCACAAAAAAAAAACCACAAATGTGCCCTGGGTGTATGTACCTACATGTGAACACGATTACACTATACATATTTGGTAGTGCTGTGCCTGCAGTATTGAGAAGTAATTCAAGGGAAGTCAAACTCTAAATTGATGACCCATAAAGGCTTTCAGTGCCTCGCTTATGGACAGTTCTGGCTACCATAGTCTTTGGCCATTTTCCAGGTGTGCACAATTTTAAGGCTTGACATGCAACCTTTTATATTTTTTACAGAACACACTGGGTAATCTATTTGTGTGGAAAAAAATTAACTTGAATGTGTTTGTTTTTGTTTTTTTTAACTAAAAATGTGGGTTTGATCAATAGTTGCGTTAATATTGTGTGACATAAAAAATTGCAACTACTACCATTTTCTCCAGGGTTTTTGCTGTCAGAAAATATTTAGAGGGAAATTTATCAAAACTGGAACAGCCAAAATCTGGAGTAGGTGTGCTTGGCAACCAGTCAGCTTCTAAGTTTCATTTTCAAAGCTTAACTGAACAAGCTGAATATAGACACTGATTGGTTGCCATGCACAACTGCTACAGATTCCTACCACTCCAGTCCCTTCCCCACCTTAATGTTTTGGGGGGTTTTAAGTAATCTGCTGTCCTAAAATGTGCGTTTGAAATTGTGTGACGGCCATGGCCTCCAGGGTTTCTGTCCGGTGTTGAAAGGCTCCTTCTCCTGGCTGCGCCTTTACAGTACAGCCTGTTAGATTTCTAATGGGCTCATTTACAGCTGGTTAACAAACTGTGGAGGCTGTGGATCTTGGTAAGTATACATTTTGTGGAGGTGGAGGGTGGCATCGTTTAGGTCAGGGCAAAGGGTTAATTTATCTAAAACTGCACTTATTCTTTAAAATATAATTTTTGGTTGAAATTCTTCTATTTTCTGTTGTTTTGCTGAACATGGTTATTTTCAGCACCAACCTAACTTTTTCGCTTATGTTTTATTTTTTTTTTTATCTAAACAGGGACTTATAAATTCCAAAAGACAGACATGAGGAAAGAAGGCTTTGACCCCCATGTGGTAAAAGATGCCTTGTATGTTTTGGATTCACTGCAAGGAAAGTATATCTCTTTGGACCATGAGGTGTATCAAAGGATCCTGTCTGGAAAGCTGAAGTTGTAGTGTATCTCCTCTGTGGTGCTGGTTATGTGACATGAGTTGTAAGGTCACACTCAGATGACTGACCTGACTTCATCAACGGAGCTTCTAATCACATACCAAAGTATTACAGCTCGAATCCGAACTGGATATCAAAAGTGGCTTGTCAGGGAAACTGGGTGTACACCCTACTGTTAAAAAGGGACATTGTTTTTTTTTTTCTAATTTATTTTTTAGTCCATCAAGAGAGTGAAAATTTAGTAATTCGCACAAAACTTGTCTCATCATGTCATCTCTTGAACACTCCAGCGTTTGGCTTGGATGAGACCGGTTCTACATTCTGTTCATATGAGCAGTCACGAATAGAAAACCACATGCATGGCTGCCATTCGGTTAGAGCTTACCTGTGACTTATGCACGGGACAGAGCACGCCATACTGACTCCATCTTGAAAACAAAAAGGGGACCTTAATATGTAGCACATCTGTCTATCTATCACTTTTAGGGAAGTTCAGCTTTCCTTAAAGCTGGGAACCTGAACATATTAATGGACCAAAAGGAGAACATTTTTAGCTAATATTTATCAAAGCAGGACTTTATCATGTTCATAGTCTGTCAGCTTTACTGTGTTCTCTGTGCTTTCCTCTACAGTGCTAAAAATATGCTTTCTATGTAACAGTGTCTTTCAGTGATTTCCCCAGAGAGTGCTGAATGGCAGATGAAAGGGGAGCACAGGTAAACCATGAAAACAGTGGCAGCAGGTTGATATGCATTAACGGGAAAAGGAGAGTATTGTGTGCTTTGAGTACTGTATACTATGTGTTATGCTTATCTCTGTTCATACTTCTTCATTACCGATCATAAATTCAGTCCAGCTACTGGCAATAACGCACAGTGTGGGGAACAGTGTGGGGTCTGCAGACTGTAGCGGAGCAGTATATGAGAATTAATTTAATTCAGTATTTCTGCTATTAGGACACTGTATATACAGTGTTGCTTGGGAGAAAGGCCCTGTGCCAATCCCCACTCAATAACTTTTGTTAGTGTACTGACACATCATTGGATTATATATAAGTCTACATAACATGACAGTTTTGAGGGAGACAAAAAAATACAGATGGACTCTGTACTGTTATACTGTAAGCATGATTGGGTACCTAAGCATGTTTGGGTAGCATTTCCTGTATTTTGTGATACCAGCCCCTGAAGGGATGGTGGGGTATTTGCGTTCCTGCAGCCATGTGCTCCAAGAGCAGGATGAGATGGGCAGAGCCAGCATCAGGCTGGCTGTTGCTTGACATGAGTTTTAATATCAAATACGAAAAGAAAAAAAAAAAAAAAAACTGGTAAAGGACTAAATACATAGTTGAAATATATGAGGAGCATTCAAGTATAACCGGGACTATGCATTCATTAAGCAAATGGAAAGTGTTCCATGATTAGTGCCCGTGGCGAGCAGCCACTTGGCATGGGACCCGGAAGCTAGTTGGGATCATTGTAGTAGTGGTGTCTACTATAATTTCCAGCTTCCACTGGGATCCTAGAGATATGGCACATATGAGGGGTGATCAAGTCAAACCAGGACTTTTTTAATTTTATAGGTGCAAAAAGGGATGCTAGCGTGGTGGTACTGGTAGTAAGTGGCAAGTATGTCCTGTTACTGATAGGCGGCGTACATATTGCATCCAGAGACCGTTAATCAAGATGGCAGACAACAGTGTTAGTGCGTGCATGAAACGGCGTGTGGGGATGAAGTTTCTTGAGAATGAAGGTGTAAAATTTGCGGATATCTACAGAAGACTTCAAGTACGGTACGGGGATGAGACGATCAGCTGCAGTAAGACATTTGAATGGTGTAAACATTTTAAAGATGACCGTACATCCGTCAGTGACGATCCCAGCCACGGTGGTTCCCAGCCCACAGGAATGAACAATCGGTGCCTGGAATGCCTGATTCTGGCGAATCGACGCCGAACCTGTCGTGAAATTGCACAAGAGGCGAATCTTTCTGTGGGAATGGTGAACACAATGATAACGACATGTAGCAGGCTGTCCTAGGATGGATCAGGCGTACTGACAAATCTTTTTATGCCAAAGCTTTCCAGGCATTAGTTAAATGCTGGGATAAGTATATAAATGTAGCAGGGGCGTATATTGAAAAATAAATGCAGTTTCCACTCCTTGAAATTTATTCTTTTATCATATAAACTCAAAAGTCCCGTTTTTTTGACTTGGAACGTCTCTCATTTATAAAATAATGGTTATACCTTCCAAGTTTTGTGGTTCACATACAACTGTCATCTCAATTAGTCTGCAAGATGACTCTTCTCTTTTCAGGTTCAGCTCTTTTTCTCTCAAATACTCATCTGCTGATTTCACAAAGAATAAGCAGTGTAAATTTTTTTATCTAATGAGCAGGTCTGAGGTGGAGAGTTCACATGGGGAGCTGCAAAGCTGAACCCGGAAATTGTGGAGTGGTTTAAGTGAATGAAGACAGGATGACAGATTCTTCGGCAGGAAAAACAGTTTACATATTTATATTTCAACTGTGTGTTTAGTTTGACTGGAGTTCCACTTTAACTGTCCTAATGTCTGTTCATACATTGCTGTCAAGTGGTAATTTGTTTTAAGCAGGCGACAAGTCCTAGATCACACTGTTCCCAATTAAAGGTTCTTGCAGAGATTTACTGATTTTATTTTTTTGTTTTTGTTGTTTTTTTTTTATTATTTAAATTAAAGGGCAATGGCTTTGTGTAACTGTAAAGGGATTTTTTTTTAATCCAACAGACATTTCTATGTTAAATAAAATATTTAGGCCTCATTCACACTGTCGTACCAATCCACAGTCTGTCTGCGTTGTGATCTATGCATTGGACCCGCATAGATCTGCACTCCAGGATGCGTGTGGAGGCCTATCATTGTTTTCATCTGGCCTCTTGCACTGCCTCAAAAAAAGCCCAAGCGTGCAGGGAGATGTCTGCAATTTGTAACTTTTAATATAAAAGAAAGCATACATTTTGGTCTCATGGGTAATTTTTTTTTTTTTTTTGCCTCTGTTGAATAAAGGGGCATGTCGGGCGTTTTCTACATGAATACATTAATCACCAGATTCCTTAGAAAACTTGGCCTGATCTCCAGTTTGTGCTTGTTTCTTAATTTTCTGGGGGACTATTTTTTCTTTAAGATTTAGTACCATGCGATACATAAACCTAGGTTTTTATGGTAGTAGGGGTCCTGCTTCAAAATACCCAATGCCTTTTAAAAATGTGTCCCATTTCCCTAAATTTTTCTGTTGAATTGTGTGTTAAATTTGATGTCCCTAATACCATTTATTGATGAAGTTTGCATCTCACCGTTACCGTGTTACTGTAAGTAGGCTTGAAATGCCTCCCTTACGAATTCTGCATGGAATAATTTTACTAGGATTTTTTAAAATCAAAATCTGAGCTATTGTAGATTGGTTTTGTCCGCTTCTAAGGTACAATTTTCTAAGCAGGCAGAACTGGCTTGTAGGGATACTTTGTTTTCACCTAGGGTGGTGACAACTTTGAAAATGGAGGTAAGAATTACCTCTAGTTTAATTTTAAAAAGATTTTTGGAGATGATCGTATTCCCTTTGGAATTCCGCTCCAGATCAAGAACGATTAAGGAAATGGGGTCAACCATGTGCATGAAAGATAAGCCCATTCCATTATTGCAATACCAGGCTAATGGAAGAACAAAAGAGGGGGTGCCATTGCGAATACTTACAATTTTGTCTATGTAACGACCAGAAAAAATGATTTGTGACAAAAAGGGATTATTCTTCCAAATGTAGTGGACCTCCCAGAGACCCATAGCCAGGTTCGCATATGATGGATCAGAATCAGTGCCCATAGCTGTGCCTTTTAGCTGTTTATAAAAATTATCAAAATTTATATAATTCTGGTTTAAACATAATTGTGTGCAGTCAAAAATTAAATGATGAAAGTTGTCAATGTGCTGGGTTCATGTACCCAGCAGGATCACTGTGGAGTACTGTGTTCTCAGCTGGCCAGCTTGCACCTTCGTCACACAGAACGTCCATTGCTGCTGTCCTCCCACTGTGTTTGTGTCTTGCTGACTGCTGATCTTCATGTGTTTTATTCAAGGGGAGTCTTTGTCTCTCATGATAAGTTACAAGTTGCTGACATTCCCTGTTCCCTTGGACTTTCATGTGCCTTGATGGCATTGGACCCTCCCTGATCCAAGTTGCAATGGATTGGCATGCCCATGTGAATGAGCTTCAAGCAGCTTTGTTGAAGCCTTTAAAACTCAACTATGGGTTCAATATTCCACTCCCCCCAATCCCTTTTTTCACCCCTGTAACCTAAAAAAAAAAAAAAAAAAAAAAAGAAAATCAATATGTGTACCTTTTTTCAAGGTGTCTTGGTCTGAGTGACATTGCAGGCCCTTGCCAAACATTATTACCTCAAACGATGGGTGGTTCCCAAATGCCACAGAGGGTAGCACCATTTCTGCAGTATTCTCCTGTCATTCCAGGTCAGGGGCGGAGCCTTTCTGTGCTGGGATCTCAGGAAGTGGGTTGAACAAGAGTCGGTGGAAGAGGAGCAGTGCTGGATTGGTGACAAGACACCACTGGAGTTGGGGTGAATTTAGTAGCCAGAATTGTTTCTTTTCACTTTTATTTCCTGCTGGAGGCTTTGGAGTTTTAATGTCCAATCAGGATTGGGGATTTAAGGCACCCTTTACCACTGGGTGGTTAAATACAGGCCTTAATGGTAATGCTCACTGTCACTTGAAACCCCAACTCCAGGCTTGAAAGGGTGTAGTGGAAGAGACTTGCCTTACAGTACTTGTAGTACTTTCCTTATAGCAGCTCTGGCACTGACAACCCTCAGGGCTGTGGCATCAGCATTGTCATGTACACTGCAGGGCTAGTGACCCAGTATTGCATGTGGAGGAGGCAGGAGAGGGAATTCGGCTGGAAACCTTCATCGATCAGTCACACCACTAGCGTGAATCAGCTAGTGTGACAAATTAAG